TGACTTGTATAACAAAATTATTTTACAGCATCAACCAAAACTGACCATATTTGCACTTTTAATATTATGTATATCTATATAGCCACATAGTAAAGCAGCTATATTTTATTGTCAGAATGGATTGTATAATACAAATGACAGAAACATTGCAACACAATGACATCAAAAATTATCCCCATCAATTTAGATTGCCAGCATGTCCTCTTTTTATTCAAAATATTGTCTCGCAACAAAATTTCAGTAATTTTGATACCTAAGGCTGACTAGTATAACAAAATTATTGAAACGCATCAACAAAAACTGACCATATTTGCACATTATTATGTATATCTATATAGCCACATAGTAAATCAGCAATATTTTGATGTCAGGATGGATTGTATAATACAAATGACAGCAACATTGCAATACAATGACAACAAAAATTTATTCCCATCAATCTAGATAGCCAGCATGTCCTCTTTTTATTCAAAATATTGTCACGCAACAAAATTTCAGTAGTTTTGATACCTCAGGCTGACTCGTATAACAGAATTATTTAAACAAATCAACCAAAACTGACCATATTTGCATTTTATTATGTAAATCTATATAGCCGCATAGTAAATCAGCAATATTTTGTTGTCAGAATGGATTGCATAATACAAATGGCAGCAACATTGCAACACAATGACAACAAAAATTTGTCCCCATCAATCTAGATTGCCAGCATGTCCTCTCTTTATTCAAAATATTGTGTCGCAAGAAAATTTCAGTAGTTTTGATACCTCAGGCTGACTCATATAACAAAACTATTTTAAAGTATCAACCAAAACTGACCATATTTGCACTTTATTATGTAAATCTATATAGCCGCATAGTAAATCAGCAATATTTTGATGTCAGGATGGATTGTATAATACAAATGACAGCAACATTGCAATACAATGACAACAAAAATTTGTCCCCATCAATCTAGATAGCCAGCATGTCCTCTTTTTATTCAAAATATTGTCTCGTAAGAAAATTTCAGTAGTTTTGATACCTCAGGCTGACTTGTATAACAAAATTATTTTACAGCATCAACCAAAACTGACCATATTTGCACTTTTAATATTATGTATATCTATATAGCCACATAGTAAAGCAGCTATATTTTATTGTCAGAATGGATTGTATAATACAAATGACAGAAACATTGCAACACAATGACATCAAAAATTATCCCCATCAATTTAGATTGCCAGCATGTCCTCTTTTTATTCAAAATATTGTCTCGCAACAAAATTTCAGTATTTTTATACCTAAGGCTGACTAGAATAACAAAATTATTTAAACGCATCAACAAAAACTGACCATATTTGCACTTTATTATGTATATCTATATAGCCACATAGTAAAGAACAATATTTTGATGTCAGAATGGATTGCATTATACAAATTAAATGACAGCAACATTGCAACACAATGACAACAAAAATTTGTCCCCATCAATCTTCATGTAGATAGCCAGCATGTCCTCTTTTTATTCAAAATATTGTCTCGCATGAAAATTTTAGTAGTTTTGATACCTCAGGCTGACTTGTATAACAAAATTATTTTAAAGCATCAGCCAAAACTGATCATATTAGCACTTTATTATGTCATGTATGTAAATCTATATAGCCGCATAGTAAATCAGCATATAGCCGCAAAGTAAATCAGCAATATTTTGATGTCAGGATGGATTGTATAATACAAATGACAGAAACATTGCAACACAATGACATCAAAAATTATCCCCATCAATTTAGATTGCCAGCATGTCCTCTTTTTATTCAAAATATTGTCTCGCAACAAAATTTCAGTAATTTTGATACCTAAGGCTGACTAGTATAACAAAATTATTGAAACGCATCAACAAAAACTGACCATATTTGCACATTATTATGTATATCTATATAGCCACATAGTAAATCAGCAATATTTTGATGTCAGGATGGATTGTATAATACAAATGACAGCAACATTGCAATACAATGACAACAAAAATTTATTCCCATCAATCTAGATAGCCAGCATGTCCTCTTTTTATTCAAAATATTGTCACGCAACAAAATTTCAGTAGTTTTGATACCTCAGGCTGACTCGTATAACAGAATTATTTAAACAAATCAACCAAAACTGACCATATTTGCATTTTATTATGTAAATCTATATAGCCGCATAGTAAATCAGCAATATTTTGTTGTCAGAATGGATTGCATAATACAAATGGCAGCAACATTGCAACACAATGACAACAAAAATTTGTCCCCATCAATCTAGATTGCCAGCATGTCCTCTCTTTATTCAAAATATTGTGTCGCAAGAAAATTTCAGTAGTTTTGATACCTCAGGCTGACTCATATAACAAAACTATTTTAAAGTATCAACCAAAACTGACCATATTTGCACTTTATTATGTAAATCTATATAGCCGCATAGTAAATCAGCAATATTTTGATGTCAGGATGGATTGTATAATACAAATGACAGCAACATTGCAATACAATGACAACAAAAATTTGTCCCCATCAATCTAGATAGCCAGCATGTCCTCTTTTTATTCAAAATATTGTCTCGTAAGAAAATTTCAGTAGTTTTGATACCTCAGGCTGACTTGTATAACAAAATTATTTTACAGCATCAACCAAAACTGACCATATTTGCACTTTTAATATTATGTATATCTATATAGCCACATAGTAAAGCAGCTATATTTTATTGTCAGAATGGATTGTATAATACAAATGACAGAAACATTGCAACACAATGACATCAAAAATTATCCCCATCAATTTAGATTGCCAGCATGTCCTCTTTTTATTCAAAATATTGTCTCGCAACAAAATTTCAGTATTTTTATACCTAAGGCTGACTAGAATAACAAAATTATTTAAACGCATCAACAAAAACTGACCATATTTGCACTTTATTATGTATATCTATATAGCCACATAGTAAAGAACAATATTTTGATGTCAGAATGGATTGCATTATACAAATTAAATGACAGCAACATTGCAACACAATGACAACAAAAATTTGTCCCCATCAATCTTCATGTAGATAGCCAGCATGTCCTCTTTTTATTCAAAATATTGTCTCGCATGAAAATTTTAGTAGTTTTGATACCTCAGGCTGACTTGTATAACACAATTATTTTAAAGCATCAGCCAAAACTGATCATATTAGCACTTTATTATGTCATGTATGTAAATCTATATAGCCGCATAGTAAATCAGCATATAGCCGCAAAGTAAATCAGCAATATTTTGATGTCAGGATGGATTGTATAATACAAATGACAGCAACATTGCAACACAATGACAACAAAAATTTGTCCCCATCAATCTAGATAGCCAGCATGTCCTCTTTTTATTAAAAATATTGTCTCGCAAGAAAATTTCAGTAGTTTTGATACCTCAGGCTGACTCGTATAGCAAAACTATTTTAAAGTATCAAACAAAACTGACCATATTTGCACTTTATTATGTAAATCTATATAGTGGCAGCCGCATAGTAAATCAGCAATATTTTGATGTCAGGATGGATTGTATAATACAAATGACAGCAACATTGCAATACAATGATAACAAAATCTTGTCCGCTTTAATTTAGAGTGCCAGCATTTCATCTCTGTATTCGTTATATAAAACTGTCACTAAAGTCAGTATCAGTATCTGTATTTCCCACTTCCATGACTTCTGAATATGGACGGGTACATCACAGATTCCTTTTGGGCTATTGTGTGATGGGTTGGTCTGCGCATAAAATAGTCGTGCTTGCTGAGGTGTGATGATTTAATCTCAGTAGTTCAGGATGGTTTGTATAATAAAACTATTCCACCTCATCATCCAACAGTGTGACTGACATGACAGATTTCATTTGTACTTTATAATGAAAAGTATGAGAAGTTCTCTTCTAGGAAAAGTATACTGTTAGTATATTATGTCGGTTGGTTGATTTTGTTGGTGGCTAAATATCAAGTGGCAAATATTTCACATAAGTATATTTTTTCGGACGTTCAAGATATCATTTATAATCCGTAAAGACAAATCTAACGAAATTGACGAGATTGTTCATAATTATACAACACCTTATGTGCAATAACACTGTACAATTTTCCTTTGAACATTTTTTGGAAAACAGAATCGTAAATCCAAGGCAAACATAGGTGAATGACGATAAGATATTTATAAAGAGACTGTCAAAAGTGGGGAACGAAGCAACTTTAAAAATGATGTTGATAACCCGTGATATAAAAATACTGTTCCGATGCGTGGATAACCTTTCTATCCGCCTTCTAGTTTAAATAAAATCCTTTCTTTTATGATAACTGCATGTGATCACAAGTGTGTAATTTTAAAGCCATCGTTTAATGTAAATAAGAATAAGAAAAAAAAAGATTTTTTAATATGTGTATATTAAATATATATGACATAGAGTCTAACGAGTAAAGTAATTTGCTTTACTGGGAAAAAAGAACAATAGGATTATTATTATTGTTTATGTTTACAATCCGAAAAATTAAAATAAAATGAACTTCGGTTTCAACCAATGAAATGTCGTACACCATTCATTCACACCATTCCCGATCGCACGTTACACAATCACACCATTCCTCATACACCATTACACCATTCCCCTTACACCATACACCATAGCACCATACACCTTCGACCATTGCACCATATGCCATACACCATTACACCATACACGTTATTTTGGGAAGTTTACACCATCCAAGGGCTGTATATAGGTTTTACCTTTGATGATTTCATTATTTATGTAGTTATAAACTGTATCTGGACATACTACATAACAATGATTTATTGTTAAAGTTGTTTTTGTAAACAAACAAGAAATACAATTTATGAATCGGGTATTTGGACATCAACCTTGAAAGAACCTACAGCCGCCAAGCAGGATACTTTAGTAAATGTGTGTTGCCGCTGTATAATTTCATTTCGTCATATTCGTGTATAAAAGCGGGATAATAGCAGAGTATTTCAAAGCCTTTCGAACACTGACGGTATTTTGTCATGTAAATACAATTCAAATCAGATTAAGTATAAAATTAAATGCATATTCTGTAAATTTTAAGCTATAACGAAGTAAATGTCGTAGTCTTTTATCATGCAAAATGAGATTCAGGGCTTCAAGCGTAGTGTACAACGTAACTTCCATTCATGATTGTCTTAATTATAAACATAAATTTACATACAATTTCTAATTAATACTGAGACATTTTCAAAGTATTTATATTTGTTTTAAACAATTTTCAGAAGTATTTCAAACCTTAAAAAATGAACAATCTGGAAAAAAAACCACTTCAAATTTGCTAAAGTAAAAGTTAAATGGAACTACATTTGACTTAGTGTTTTGGCACTCAGTACAGGTTCTTGTCGGATAATATGCGTTTTAGCTTTGTCCGTCTGCGAAAATATTGAAATTTGACATTATCACAATTGCTTATGAAAGGTAAAACACAGTTTTCCTATTTGCCCGTCAACCTTATTTAACTATTATTTCGCCTTCCTTTATGGTACTGGTATCATGCAATACAAACTATGAAAAGCAGTCATCCAACAGACAGAACTAGTGAACTAGTATACAAATGATATTAAGAGTGACTTGATTTGAAGGAATTCAGTTAGTTTTAAGGCTACCAAAATCTGTTTTTCAAAATATCAGGACATACTGAATAATGCAAAGTAAACGTCTTGCGAAAAAAAAAAAAAACATATAGTCGCGATTAAGTTTCAGAAAACCTCATTAAAGACAAGGAAGTTTTTAATTGTACGCATACATGTACGAATGTCTTTAGTATTACTACTTATAGTCGTTTGCAATTGTCATCTTGTTGTTTTAAATAAAAATTATCTAGCAAAATACATAATCAAGATTTGTTTGTTTGTTACAGAGAACTAAAAAAAAAAGAATGAAGGTTTCTATTTGTTTATTCGTCTGTCTATTGTTAGTGTCCGTAGAAGGTAAGTAAACATAAGAACTTCTTTTCGATTTAACGTCTGATTATTTTTTTCAACTGCAATTCTCTCTTGAATAGTTCTTTATAAACATTAAGAAAACAAATGCTTGCAAGCGAATAGCTAGTGAAATTCTTTGATTTTTCCTATTGACTGTAATAACGTTTCTAGTTTTATCCTGTTTTAACCGTAAACATCATTTTTTTCTCTGATATGAAAGCCTCATTATCATATTTTTAGTTTTTAATATCTACGTCAATTTCAATAAAATTATTTTTCAATGGTAAATGAGTTAGCAACCATATCAAACAATAGAAAAAGATCAATATGCAATATCAATTTGAAAATTAATATGTAAAGGTTAATTTGTTAAATTTAATCTAAACTTTTTTAAAGGCAGCACACGTTATTGCATAATAGTACTGTTATTCATTATATGAATTGAATATGAATTACCCGGTAACGTTATTTAATAATAACAAATATTTACTTCCAGTCAACATGGCGTATGAAAAAATGCTTGAAGACAATAGCCTCATTCATAAGTAAGTTCAGCCGAGTTAAATATTCGAGTAAATCGAAATTATAAAAGTAACATATGTAATGTTTTAATTTTATTGATTTTATTGTAAGTTACAACATCTTTCTCAATAATATAAAAGGCGTGATCAATTATAATCCAAATCGTTATTTCAAATTAATAAGAATCAGATCCTGCTCTTAATTTGGCAATCAGAAATGCAACGCTAAAGTACTTTTTGGAATATCTCTTCACTTATTCCATCAACAAATACACTGACAGATTGAATACTTTTTTTTATCGACAACATAGTTGTTAATTTTTGTGCAATTTTGGTGCAATTTTGTTCAACAAAAAAAAAACTCTTCTATAAACTCAGTTACCCTTATTTCAGTGAGGTGTTCAGTGTTTCTGTTGTGCCGTTGTTTTCCTCTTATAGTTGATTTGTTTCCCTCGGTTTTAGTTTGTGACCCGGATTTTTTTTTCGCTTAATCGATTGATGACTATTGAACAGGGTATACTACTGTTGCCTTTATATACCTTGCAACTTGATACTTGATTTATCAAAAAGACTATAAGGTTTTTTGAATCTTTTACTTGATATAGGCAAAACAGGACGACTTCAAACACTGACTTATGATAGACGTGACTATCGTTTTAATATCACCACTAGTTTTTGGTGGGATTCGTGTTTTAGTTTTAGTATTTAGTTTACCATGTTGTGTTTTGTGTATTGTTGTTTGTTTGTTTGTTTCTGTTTTTTCTTAGCCATGACGTTTATTTTTAACTTATGCTATCGAATGTCCCTTTGGTATCTTTCGCATCTCTATTGCAGTTTTGTGGTCAATGACTCAGAACTTTCAAACAATCTGCATGAAGTCAATTCAGTACTGTACAGAAGCTTTTCGGACAATTTAGTATGATGGTAATGTGTACTGGTTAACAACAACTACTGAAGAGTTTAAACAGATAGACTAAACCGAGCATTATCGACTGCTAAATTTCAAATGTTTTAGCGCTAACTCATCCATTGTCCCGTCATGTAACTTTTACAAATCTAACTAGATACGTTATGTGCTTCGTTGTTTAAAGTACATTGTAAGCAGACGTTCTAGAACATCTAAAATCGAGACTCAAATTGTAAGGTCGACACCAGGAATAGGTTGACAGTTACGAGGTGTATGAAATCACAAGAGACACTATTAACTCAAAATTGTTCATGAACAAAAAAAAAAGCATCTGATCTGATCATTTACATATTGTGTCCTATTTATGATTCTGCCATTTTAACAGGGAGTGGATTGTCATCAGGGAAGTTGCACATTTTAATAGGAGATAACCCTGTCGCCGTAGTAGGTCTAGTGCCGTTTTGATTTTCTTCAAGTTTGTGTTATTTTGGGTTTGTTTATTCTCAACTCATTTAGTTCATGTTTAATGCAATTCGTTTTACTTGTATAATTATGACACTGTTTATTAAATAATTAAACACGTTTGACTGTATAAAATAACAAAATTTCTTACAGTTTTTAGTCGTTACGCGCATTTGTTTTGAATAAGTCTGAAATACACCTGAAAACCAGTACAATAAAGCATTTGCATTGCAGTATAGAACAATTAATGTATACCTGTTTTGTTCAAATGATAATCAGACTTATGGTCATCAGTAGAGTTGTACAAACTTGTAGTATAACTCATATATTTTTTATTCTTAACAGTAAGTATCGGAGATGTATAATACATCTGTCACCGAGGAAGGAATGTTATTCAAATTTGATTATCTTCCATTTGCCAGAATAAATCTCATGGAATAATTAAAGTGAGAAACATTGCAAATTAATTATTAGGACATTGGGGAAACTGATAAAGCATATTTTGTTGCAGATTGATTGAAAAAGATGACAAAAACATGCATATACAAAATCTAATTAAAGTTTAATTAAATAAACTATTTCCTGGAGCACCTGCTTTGTTGCCGACAACAAATTAACAAGTGCCAGATACAGGAATTACAAAATTTAAATTCCATGTGAGAGCGCCATCTATGGCGATGCCATATATGACAATGAACTAAACAGTGCAACACCCACACAAATATTTGATTAAATTCAACCAGATTATTGAAAATATAAAATTTGCTTATCTCTATAAATTGCAATACTCATAGAAGAAGACCCTAAAATAAGACTGATTGAATAACAACGAGATGAAGAACAAGGATCAAGAGTTCTTGTTGTTTTCTAAACTATGTTGAAGTCTTTTCTTTAATCACAAAGTGATTAAAATTGTTATAGAGTTGTCTCTCTTTGCTTGTTGTTATTGTAATTGACAGATACCAAGATTAAAATACTGCATGCTGTCTGTATACTATATTCAGTTGTTTAGAGGTTCCATTTCTGTTATGCATTGATAACCTTTACAACTAAAAAAAAAAAAAAAAAAAAAAAAAAAAACAAATCAGTAATTTTTCCATTTGTAAAGGGGCATAACTCTTGAACGGTTAAAGTGACGCCACCAAAATTAAAACTTGATCTGTATTTTGTAATATATGAAGTGTGTATAAGTGTCATAACATTTGATTGAGGCAAACTAAAGTTACAGAACGGAAACTAACTTTGGGACGTACGGACGGACAAGGGTAAAACTTAATGCCCCCTCCTCTACGGCGGGAGCATAACAATCATTCAAATTAAACATACATTTTAAAACAACAAAATGTAGTTACATTTTCAGGAATAGAATATACATTTTTACTTTGTGACGTTACTTTGGCTACAGAGTATTCTATAATATTTTGTTGAGGCGCCAGGGTGACTACCGATTGCCTATACACAATGGCTATCAGCTGACCTATGTTGACATAGTGTCATAAAAACCCTGGTAGTTAAACAGGGTTACACCACCAACTACCATGGGGAGTGACCGGGGAAACTCTCGCATCACCAATGCTCCAGCTATAAGTGCCCCACCTGTTGGCAGGTGTAGGTCTCCCTTCTAAAAGGTGAGGTGGAGGAAGTCCCAGAGTTACCCATCTGTAGACCCCACCGTTACCACTAACCACATTTTCCAAATCCTGCAAATTGAAGAACTTGTCAGACCCAGAGCAAGGGCCGCGTGAAATAATCCCCCAATCACATCCAGTCTCCCTGGACCACCACATGAGAGCCCAAGTCAGCTACCAAATAATATGACTTGGGTTCTCACCTCCACAAAATTTTAATTATTAAGGTATTGTGAAAAAGTTGATTTTGTTGTGCTTAGAAAAAACTCAACTCCCCCTTGTATATCATTTAAGAAATTCTGATTTCCAGTTAGTGATAAATGAGTTCCATCTGTTCTGTATAAAGACACTCCCCTTGCCCTAATGTTCTCAAGTAAAATAGCTTAAAGTCCCCCATTTTCTATTACAAAGTGGTTGACCACTGAATTAACTATTTCCCTCTCCTATTCGATTAGTGGACCAGCATTTAAGGGTGCAAAATGCCAGTATCTGCGCTGTAGCATTGAAGACCAGATTATAATAACATTTTTGAATAAAGC